GAAACGTTAGGAAACAAAACTTCAAGACCACGGCCACACAGCCCAGAAGACCCACACCAGTATGCCGGCCATGAAAGCCTTCGACAATACAAGGCAGTTTTTCTTTGAATGTCTAGTGGTAAATTCAGGTTGACAGTGGAATCTAGGGAACTGAAAGTCTCTCCTTCGCTGGGTATGTCAACCAGAGGCTGCACAGCCATCTCTTAGTAATATTTTAATTTTTATCCCTCCACAGAGAAGAATGAGATTCAGTGGCCTAAATGAGACTTTTAAATCTATTATTCTATATTCAGAGAGGGTACTTCAGCTGGAGCTGAACAACATAATCCCCTTTGCCTTACCTGTGGCTTGTAATATACTAGGTTGTATAGAAGTGTTCTGAGCAAAAAGCGAGTTGCTTCCAGAACTTTGCAGAATTGTTACATGCTATTTATCAGACTTTTTAAAAGAGTATTTCAAATCTATACACATGAGAAAAGCCAAAATCAGTAGATACTGTAAAGCATGTCCATATGCCTACTATTTACTTGTATCATAATTTAGTTTGTCAGTCATATACAGTTCCTAGCTCTTAAACTAGCCTCTTATAGTTCTATTTTAATGGCATTCTGAGCATCCATTAATATGTGGTAATGCTTAATCTCATTTCATACAAAACTTCTCTTTCTAATTTCTGTATACCGAGCTTCTGTCCAAGAGGCAATTCACAAAGCACCTCCTGGCCCAGTTCTGAGATAGCCTACTTACTAGTCATTAAGGACATGTCCTCACACCAGAGTCTCCATCTCTGGGCCATCCTGCCACTGAAGCAGGCTGAAGCCAGATCAAGAAGAGCATCAGAGCTCTTTTCTTTATTTTTCACCCCTGTAGCAATATTGACCATGTGGAAACATAATCTGTGAGGTTGATATTCCCACCAGTAACCTCTGCCATCTCTTTCCACATCAATCCCTGCCCTTACCTCCATGCTTGCTGGGAAACATTGAGATTGCTGTGGTGAGAGGTGGTGGAGGATCCATTCCTGGGGAGTGTGGTGGAAAGAAGCAGCAGCAGAAAATGGACAGAACCTCCTTCCCAGCCCCTGACAGCAGTGGTCAAAACCACCACCCTTACCCTCATGTGAGGGTGGCAAATTTGCTGACCTCATTTTCAAGGCATGGTGAAGGGGTTGCTGAGAGGACAAGGTTTTCCACTTTCCTCCCATCTCTGGGATGGGATGGAAGCACATTACTGGAATGTGGGGAAGAGCCCATGGAATAGAAGAGAGATGCAATTTGTCTTTTCCTGATCAATTAGTCTTCCTATAGCCTAATCAAGAAAACAAGGAACAATTCTCAGTAGATGTAATGGTATGTTAGAAACACCTTGAGAAATGGGGCGAAGAGATGCTGCCTAGGGAAAAGTCAGATAAGTGAGGGTATAGCCATCAGCTGCATAATGGGTAGAGAAAGAGGTCAGAAGGGACCCTCCCTAACTTTTCAGGCTGTAAAAGAGACAGTGGGAGATTTGTACTTTCAGACTTGCAAGATTCTGTTAATGTAGCCTTACAATAAATAACTTTTCAGGCTGTAAAAGAGACAGTGGGAGATTTGTACTTTCAGACTTGCAAGATTCTGTTAATGTAGCCTTACAATAAATAACTTTTCAGGCTGTAAAAGAGACAGTGGGAGATTTGTACTTTCAGACTTGCAAGATTCTGTTAATGTAGCCTTACAATAAAGTAGAATTAGCTCACCTGGTTGTGTTTCCTCTCTGGTCTACCTGGGAAGCCTGACAGCACAACCATTTTGGAAGTGAAGAGAATATTAAAATACCCCTGATCATGTTGATCTCATGAGATAGAGTATTGACTAACTGCTTTCCAAGTATAAGCTGTAAAATCTTCTTAAAAATTAAAGATGGGAACCATGCATCTGTGTTATATCTTCACGATGTAACTGCAGATGCATAGAATATATGTGGGTCTGAATGGAGAACAGGAGGAAATGTTTGAAGAGCAGGATTGCTCTCTACTGTAAGGCAGAGTGAGGCTTCTGCCTCATTTGACAGAGGCTGAAAAGCACAGAATGGTTGGGCATGCCCTCTAAACTATCCTGAGTGGAGTGGAGGACATTCCTGTCACCATGACTGAAATCGTATTCAACTTCCAGTTCTCATAAATGGCATTGAGTAGTGGCTGGGAGATGCTGGCTTGCCTTAGATAACAAGATGATTGAGGTAGACCTACTCTCAGTATATACTTACGAAGTGGTAAATCATAAACAGAAGCTGTGAGCTTTGCAATGTCCTGGCCCTATCCTGCTTCTTATATTACATCTTCTGTAAGATGAAGTAGAAACTGGAAATTGAAAAAAAAAATCAGAAAAAAAGTATATCTTTTGGGTGCAACAAGTTCCCAGCAAATGATTTTTTTATTCATTCATTTATCAGAATATTTATAACCCAACCTATTTTAAGAGGTGAGGTGGAATATAAGTAATGAATACAATGTATTAAATAATAAAGCCCAATACATAAAATCTAGAATAAAATAAAAATACTGGCTATGTGTGCATGATATACTTCCTGTGGATTTTTATTTCATCTATTCATTCCAGTTTTCTGGACCCATACAATGCACTGAACCATAATTTGGGTTTGCCAAACATGATGGATAAAATGTATTTGGCTAGGTTATGATTCAGTGTGTCCTGCAAGCACGGCTCCTAAGTTGCCATCACCAACATGCAAATGCTTGGGTGAAAAGCCAGATTAAGTATCACTTTCAAATAATGCTGTGCCAGCTGTGTCTGCAAGGAGGGAAAGGAATTCCACAATTTGAATGCTGCTGCTGAAATGTCCCTCTTTCACAATTCTACATAATATGCTGTTCCTAATGGCAGGACAAGAGAAGAGCCTCCTGAACAAATTTTAATACTCTAATTCTCAAAGATTCCTCAAAATTTAAGATTTGAGGAATGTACAAAGAGGCATTCCTCAAATCTTAAATTGCTAACCTAGCAGGTTCTTTTTCGGTGATTCTCCAATCAGTTGGAGACTGATTGAGAAGTCATCAGAAGTAATACAAGAACTCAAGTTTCAGTTCCTTGTTGCATTCAAGTTAGAGTGAGATTGGAATTTGTCAAGATGCTGGATTTTTCTGCTGCTTGGGGTAGATTTTATACTGCTTCTTTGGTTAGCTATTTGACTTTGACTTTGGCCATGGTCCACTCTTCAAATGTGGCCCCTGGGACTATTCGAATTTGGCCCTCAGACCCACCTTTTAGGTATCAAGGAGAGCTACTAAATTTGGGCATATGGGGTAATTTTTACCTGGATTTTTTACTGCAGTCAAATGCTATATAAATGTTAAACTATTACTAACATTAGCCAACATTTGCTTTTCTTTGTCCTTTAGGGAGATGGAACAGTTTAAAGAAGATGATTGCAATATATCAGCTGTGATAACACAGAAAATCCCTTTCTGGACTTTCCTCTTGATATCATGGGCCAAGTGCCTTTTACACAAAACAGGTTTAGAATGAGGGGTCTTTTCTCATGATACAGGAGAACCACGTTTCCCTTCCTGTACTTATTTCTCCTGATACATTTAGCACCTGTTGGGCTAGAGCATATTTATTTTTATAATACGTTCTTTTCCAAGACAAACTCTTTGAGATAAGACCAGTTGCAACTTTTGGTTCCTTCGGTTCAAGGGGCAAAATTATTAAACCACTTCTCTCTGGTTTGTTTAAAGATTGTCCATGTTGGAAATAAGTCATAGAAATGGAATAATAATAATAATTTACAGGAGTGTGAGATAAAGATTCACATTTGGAATGTTTATAGACTTTGTGTAGGCTTTTTTTATCCTCCACTATTCCCTATGGTTCCTCAGTTACTGTTTTTAAAAGTTGCCTGTTACTTTGTGTTCCTAGAAGTTAAATATTGTGCTCCTTTATAGCTGTATTTACATGTTACTGTGTTAGTATACAGAAATATTTCCATTTTCTAAGTGAACATTTACTCTAAAGCAGATCATATGAAAATAATAAACCATAATGGAATTAAAACTTTGCAGTAGTATGAATACATAACGTGGACTGCGTCTGCCTAGAACAAATCAGAAAATAGAGTCATGGTTTGTTTTAGGCTTGATTTAAGAGGAAGCTTGTATCCTGCATTCAGGGGTCTTTCAGATATAAATTCTGAGTCACTGGAAATGGCTCCAAATCATTGTGTTCCTACAATGTCAGCAGTGTTTGACAGCTGATTTATTTCTGGCTCAGCGATGGTATAATTGAAATCAATGTAAAATTATTTCTCCATTAATGGGAAATCTTGCCGTCCCCCCTACTCCTGAACAGGTCACTGACTCTGGTAAAGTAAGTGCTAGTTTTGTGGGGCTTGAAGCTTCTGCTAAGAAACAGCGATGAAAGCTTAGGCAGTTTCTCTCTCCTCTTAGGAATCAGAGAAGCAAGCATGCAAAATTTCAAACTACTAGATTCCTCACTCATTAATTCTGAATGGAGTCAGGACGAGAGATCTTTGTTACTGCAGTGATTTTCACTCCTTGTTTCTGGCATTTCAAGTCAGCCAAAGGAAAGCTAAATCAGTGATCCTCTTCCAAAGCTGCTTTTTTTTTAATTAGAATTTTTCAGTACAATAAAATTATACAAGATTAAAAGAAGATTAAGAAGAAAAGATTAAGACTGAGGAAAAAGAGTGTATGGAAAATAAGAAACAGAAACAAAAGAAATGAAATTAAATTAAATTAAATTAAATTAAATTAAATTAAAAAAGAAAGATGTAGAATTATGATTACTGCCCTTCTTTCTAT